ACGCGCGAAAGAAAGAAATTTATTGTAAAATTGATGGTAAATCATTTATTTTCTGGAACTTAATATTTGAAAAAGAAATCTACAAAATATTATTTCGAAAATGTGAATCAAACAGTAGCAACTTTTTAAGTAAATTTATTTACAACAATATTAACAAATTATAAAAATTAATTTAATAAATTAATATTATTTTTATTAAAATTTATAATTTTTAAGCTAGTTTTAATTAGAAAAATATAATTGAAAACTATAAGTAATTTTGAAATTCGGTGAAACTATGGAAGACTATGTTAATTCAACACGAGTATCGCGTTCGATGCGTCGCGTCGTTACGCTACGGGACGCTTTTAAGCATGGCAGAAATCTGGGCTACGCACGTGCAGATGTACCGTAATAATAATTGTTTCCTTAATTACAGCCGTAGACTATGCGTGCAGTTGGTTCGTCGCGTCTTTTTACGAAGATTGCGTCGTTCCTAGAAAAATGGTCCCTCCGATGAACAATTCCGATGATATCTGCGTGTGGACAAAGATTTAACGTGATCCATTACAGTATACGCGTGTACGATGTTGGTGAATTTTCGTTGAAAATAGCGCGTGAAAGTTTACGACGAGTTTGCAGCGATGAAGTCATCGCAGAGATGGAACAGTGAAATGCGTGGGTGAACACGACAGTGCTGAGTTAGAATTTTATGTTCCTCGTAGCATTTATTCGTTGACAAACGAATGAAAGCGAGATAGGTGTTGATAAATATAGATTGTGTCAATATGAAGAATCGATACCATTTGATATCATTAAGTACATGTTAATTAAGGTGAAATTGTGTGTCAAGCCACCAACCACTTTAGAAATGAAGAAAACATAAAATATTTCTAGAAAGAGTAAGTTTTAAGAAATTTATTCCTAACATGGTACGTTTTACACTATGTGATGTATAAAACAATTTTCTACTTTCACCTTTTACTTCAATATTCTCAGAAATATGAATTTTCATAAAAATGTATTATCAGAGTTAATTACTATTTCCACTGTAATTTGACTTATTGCGCGTATGATAACGAGTGTAAGAATGATCTCAAACGATCCCAGACCGGCTCGTTAGCATGCAAATGGGATTGTTGGCATCCTTTTAAGAAAATGGAGCGTTCTTCAGTCGTAAAACGATCGAGATTGCTGGCGTCGCGAATTAAATTGTCGAGTAAATAAGTGAAACAGGGGAACAATGGGCCGTTCGATGCGAACAGTTATGGAAAATTAAGCCGTTAACATAGCGGATTAACATGTTAACAACGTAAACGCGTTAGCATCCGCCGCGAACGACACTTATCTGCGCTCGACTCGAGTTTTCCGGTTTCGATGCAAACAGCGCCTCCTTTAATTGATCAATTAATTCACAGCTGAAGTAAAGCGTTCAAACGTCGGAAGTTGCCTTTTCTGGCAACGAGAGGGAAAGGAGGAAAGTATCGTTTGAATTTCACGCGTCTTCCTGGTGTTTTTCGTTGCAACATTTGCGACTATATTTCATCGTTAATCGCGATTTTTATCGTTAACCGTGATTTGAGATAGAGGTAGATTCTAAGAACAGATTCTTTATGTAGGAGAAAGGAAGAAGAAAGTTTATATAATTTTAAGTATGAATGGTCTTCGAAATCGTTGGAATTAATATAGTAAATTTTCAATATTTCTGTATAAAGTATAAAGTTTTTGATAATTACAAATAAGGAAATTTGTTCATAGCGTTTATTTTAATAATTAAAAGGAATAATCTTCTTCCGGGATTGTCGAAACTAGTAAAAATTTGGTATTTTTTGTATTGTACTAATTTTAGTAGTTAAAAATAGAGAAATTTAAATTTTAAAATTTAAATAAGATAGTAAGAAATATTCTTTAAATAGCCTTAAATATTCTTTAAATATTCAATTTTTTTGAATAGTAATATTTTCTATCCTCTAGTTATATTATTGTATATTATTATATTATCGTGGGCTATTTAAAAAATATTTCTTACTATCTTATTTAAATTTTAAAATTTAAATTTCTCTATTTTTAACTATTAACTACTAAACTACTAAACTTTTAAAATAATTCTCAGATTTTATTTAGTTTATTTACGAATCGTTTATAGTCTAAACGATATAAAATGGTATAATAGTTTACGCATAAAGAGAATAAAAATTTTATGAATATTTAACTAATTTAACTAATTTAACTAACTATTTAACTGATTTAACTAATTTTAATATTAAAACTAAGGAAACGATAATACAATCTGTCTATTACACCTGCAATACTTGTTTTATTCTATCTTCTAAATTTTCTACGCTTCTACGCTCAATCTCTCCAAAGCGTACTTGAAGAGAACAGTAATTTACTGCTAACAGTAAATTTCCAAACCAAAGTTCGCCAGAACATATTCTACATAAAACGTCGTGATACCATAAAAGTAACCACGAAGAAACAACAATGGACCGTAAAGAAAAAGGAAAAGGAAAAAAAAAAAAGAAGAACTGATCGATGCCGAACACGTTCGAATACGCCGTCAGCGAGACAGAATATCTGAATATCGACACGAATCTCCACTTTCGAGGCAGCAGCGGTATTAGCCGCGTGAATGGTGTTACCGGTTAAACGGGAGAATCGTGGGAACGAGATGTGACTGAAACACGAAACCTAGAAAGACGAAGAGGAAGAAGAAAGAGTAGAGGGAAAAAGAACGTAACAATAACAACAACAAGAAAAACAGAAGAAGAGGATGTGGAAGGAACGCGGTCGGTTGGGAGCAGATCTCCCTCGGTGCAAGTAACGAGGATATCGCGATTGTGAACAGCAAGGACACGAACAGAGTTCAGCGAGCAGCTCTTCCCAGCGAAAGAAGGGATATCCGAGTCCCCACTATTAAATAGCCCGACTCCGGCGCGGAAAGGAGAAGCTACATCGGGGGCGGTAGAACACCACCAGCCTCAGTGCAATTTCGACACTCGTCTGGCAGCCAGTTGTCACAAAAGGGTGATTGTCCGCGATCCCGTTGGCTTCAACTTTGTGTTTCAACTTTGAAACGGAGTGAGGGAAAAGGGGATGAACCGAGAGGGATGATAAGAGAGAGAGAGAGAGAGAGAGAGAGAGAGAGAGATTGGAGTATTGCTGTAGAAGTTGTTGAAGAAATAATTGAAAGACTCGTGATATCGTTTGAAGAGGAGTTTTGCGATTGGAATGGGACTTTTCCTTCGGAGGGGTGATTTCTTGAGCAATTTGGAGTTTGGTGAAAAGAATTCTTGACAGGCGATTGAAATTTGGAGATGTGAAAGGTATTAGGAGAACGCAGAAGCATCGAGCTAAAGAGGAATTTTAGGGTTTTCAGTAGAAAAATATTCCTTTCTCGACGAAGAACTGAAATTTGGAGATTGTTGAAGGGAAAATTCCCATTTTATTTTCGAAATCTTTTCTCAATGAAAGAAATTGTTGACGACAAAATCGAAGATACAGCCGTGTCGAAACAGATCTGTTTGAGACAGAGAAGGTTGGAGGATGTTATTGGAGAACGTCTGGAGAGCAAAGAGGTAAAATTCATAAATAATCTTTGCATAAAGTGGAACAAAGTATTATAGTTCAAAGGAAGTAAAAAGAGTATTAATTAAAACTCAAGTATTAGTTGAAAAGGAAAAAGAAATCTCCGAAAGAATATGATGGTTATAGCAAACTGTACGAGCAGTCGAATTAAATCACATGAGCATCAGTAAGAAATTGAAAGGAGAAACCCGATTAGCAAAAACGTCAATAGGAAGTGAAACTAACAAAAGAACAGGCGTCTGTGCTACAAAATGCCTGATTTCAATTACAAATAGACGTGTCATTTTTACTTTTTCGCTTTTTCGCTTCATTAATCGTCGAGAAACCAGCGAAAGAAGAAACTAAAACAGTTCTAAAACAGCAAAACAAAATTGTTCCACGCAACGTTGGAAAAGGAGAATGGGAAGCCCGTAAAATTCGATCAAAGTAGAAGAGACGAAAGGATTTGGCTTCGGAAAGGGGAGGAGAACGCTTGAATTCCCATTTTCGTGGAAAAGATCGAGAAGCCAGCGAACCGTGAAGAAATTGACCTGGTCAGGAGGATTCTCCTTCAACGACAAACCTCGTCAAATTGAACGTTTCCTGCCATCTTACTGGAGCACGAACAACGTGTCCACGAACATGCAAGACTTCTTTGATGGCACGCAATGACACAAAACGGGTATTTATTTCTTCGTCGATTAGCATGTCCACCTAGAAACCGGCGTTATACCGGAAGTCCATCGCAGAATCATCGAGAGCTGTTGAATTCAGAGAGAATCTCGGTCACAGGATCAATCTGTCACCTGTGCGTGATTGAACGGAACGAGAATAGTGTCGTTGCTTTTTCAAGGTCTCCTCGATCTCTTTCGTTCGACACGACATCTCGAGGATACTTTAGAAGAACATTTAGAAAATATAATTCTGATTGAAAACTAAGAGGAGAGAGAGAGAATATTATTCCTTTGCCACGTTCGTTCGATTTCTTGTATCTGACACAGTTTTCAGATTGCAATGTTTGCAGCAACAGCGCATGATCGTTGACGAGTATCATTGAACGAAGAGGAAATATATTATTACTTGGATTTCAAAATTATTTGGAAAGCAGTCCTTCAAGTTCGAACAGTAAACAATCGAAGAATTAATACGATGCTGAAATTACTTCTCTAGAAAAGTAATTAAATTCTTTTGAATCAAGTATCAACAAAGATTCATCTGGAATACGAGAGAAGAATAATTGGAAAATATTCTTCCGAATCAAAAAGTCACTCATCGATCGATCAGGCAATGAAATAAAAAGAGAATATTATTTCTGTCTGGCATCATTCCGAGATTCATTCACTTCTCTAGAAAAGTAATCTGAAATCTTAAGTGAAATAAAATAAAAAAGACAAAGTGATCAAAATCGCGAACGACCCTCGGAGAAGAGTAAAAGCGACGTCGTAGAAAGACGGAACGGAGATAGCAGCGAAAAATCGATTCGAACTGCAAAAACAGAAAGGGCGTATTGTTTCCAAGTTTACGAGGCGTGAAGCAAAGATCACTTTTGAGGAAGCGGTTCGTTGAATAACGAGCGGAGGTGAACAGGAACAGGATTAGTAGAGTACTTAGGGAGGAAACTTGGATTTTACGAGGTGAGGAAGACCGAAGATGAGTAGAAAGTTAGAAAGAGGGAAGCGAAGCGAGTTTTATGGTTAAAGAGGTGAAAAACAAACTCTGTTCGCTTCGATCGTTATTGTTCCTCCTTTCTCGAAGAATGTATTTGAACGATGGCGAAAAGAAGTTTAAGAACGACTCTGAGAAATGGGAGATTTTGTTTTTGGGAGAGGAGAGATTGTTTTTTCTAATGAGAGAGAAGAAGATAAGAGAAGAGTGAAAGAAGAGGTAATTAACCGCGAGGAAGTTATACAGGACTTTGTTAGCACTGTGACGCCTTGAACGAGAAGAAATCTTACAAGGTAAGATCACTTTTTTGTGAAAGATTCATACGTGCTATTTTCTATTTGTGCGAAACATTTTTAATCGATAGATATAAGTACTTAATAAATTTAATAGATTGTAGGTTTTTTAGTAGACAGATTAGATTTTTATGCAGAGTTGTTAGAGATAAACCTTGCTACTATCATTGAACTTTCGCATTCCCAATTTTGCTCTCGTTTAAATAAAGAGAAAGAAAGATTTAGGAGAAGTTGAAACGAGAAATCATATCGATAGACTATTGATAAAACTTATTTTATATGAAATTGTTTTTCAAATCGAAAGTATCTGCTTATTGTTAAAAGAAAGTCATAGAAAATTATTATTTTTATCATGTGATTATTAAAGAAAATTATTGTAAATGTCAAATCGAGAGATCGACAGAAGCAGGAAGAAATGCTGTACGTTTTTAGAAACGTGTTCCCGTTTTATCAGAATCCAATCTGTTGGATACGACAAAAGGAGAAGAGAAAATATCGCCATACCAGAGTAACGGCGATTTGCACGCATTATTCGCGAATCAACGTTTTGACATACACGTTTTCATTGGTCGTAAGCTTGAAAAGCAACATCGATATCGTAGAATGTAGGTAGACGAGCCATCTGATCTTATTCGATGCAAATAATAATAAATTATCTCGTAGAAAGTCCGGCGTGCAGGAAGCTGCCAATATCTCTTGATAGAAAAGGAAAGCCAGTAATCTACATATAAATCGAACTTCTAAACGAATGTGAAAACACTTGAATTTTCTCGCAATGTTTAACATTGACATTTCAATTTAACTGCGTTCGACAAATAATCGGCTGGCTCGGAATAGTTATGTATTATACATCAGTATTGTATATATAGTTATCTATATCAATTCATTGATAGGTTTTACATAAAATGATTTGATACATGCATTGTGGCTTTTGGAAAATTCCCAGCGAGAAGCAAGGAAACATTAAAAGTTATGAAAATTAGATTTGAGTTAATTAAGTTTTTAAGTTCGAAATTTAAAATTTAAAATGTTCGTAGCGGAGTTTAAGAAAAAAATTGAAACTTGGATTTGAAAAGAACTTGAAAATTAAATTCGAATTATTTTTTTACAATATCTGATTTGTATCGCTACGATTTTCAGCTTGTCGTATAATCTTTACATCTTTGTCACACTTTCTTTGAACATTTGCAAATAAAATTGTATGTACAGGAAGAAGGATAAGTACAACATAGAATAAATAAATTCGATTATTTCACGCACGATTTGAACGAACGATTGAAACCTTGACAAAGTCAATTACCTTGACCATAAAACAATGTCCTATTTCAGAAGCGGAAGTATTGCCACTGACACCAACCAGAAAGTTGTCGATCAAGTGAATTGAGTCGATATCACAACAGGCGATTCAATCAGTATAAAACGAAACGAAATTGACCAACATTCTTCTGCAGCAAATAAAAGAGGAAATCAAAGAAAAGAACGAGAAATATTTACGATCTAAAGTTGGTAAGTACTTTTCAACTTGTTTGGGAATTATATCAACGACAATTTTTAAAATGAATAATTGAAATAACTAAACCAATAATTAAAAAGTGATAATTTTTAAAGTTAAAGTAACTGAAAGATGGTGTTTAATTCTATAATATTTTTTATATTGAAACAACTGAAGGTTTCAGTTATTGAAAGAATTAAAAATTGGAATTTGAAGAAATTGAAGCGATTAGAAATAACATATGGTAAATGGTAAAAGTTGGAATACTTACAAATTGATAAGATTGGAAAGTAGAAGTTAAAATTTAGAAAAATTGATTTAAAAGATGGAGAAGTAAAAAGTTGGAAACTTCAAAATTTGATACTCTTAATTGCGATTTTATAAAGTCGAGAGTAAAATTAGAATTTTCTCTCTCTCTCTCTTTTGAATTTTAAATTTAATTTGACAGTGACCTAAGAATTAGAATGAAATTTAATGGCCTAATTTAAATTCAATTTAACAATTTCCTAAAAATAACATTCAATAATTTATAGCAAAAGATTCTTAAAAAAAAGTGGATCAATGAATCAGTCAGCCAGTCAGATATAGGCTGGCAATATTTTATGAATGATATATTAATGTTTTCAAAAATCAGTTATTATAGTAATAGCAAATGTAATATAAAATATTGAAGTAAAATATTCAGTGAGGCGAGGAGAAAATATTCAATGCTCCACCGATCATTGAAATACAATTTACGAGTTTTACAAAGTCACGACGGATGCAATCAAGCTTCGAGGCGATTTTATCGCGCGTGGAATACGATGCTCGCGGAGGAGCAAAATGTAGGTGGCCATTATAGTGAGGGTAATCAGAATTTCATGCAGGAAATCGTCGGTGAATGATGGTACGTTGCTGGCGTTGTTTACAAACATTTTTGAATTTTCTTTTTACACGCGATGTAATTAATGAAGGTATAATTAGCGCGCACTTTCGCGAGCAGCAGAACGCCTCCTTCTGAATATAATCATTTTATCTTTCGATTCATTCGATTCAACGTCTCTCTTCCCGTTTTCATTAACATCTTTTTCGGTTATTGACTGAAAAATATTCTTCTCGTTTATATTTTGTTTTGTTTCATTGCTTGTCAAACAATTTTGTATTGCTCTTATCTTTAGAATTTTCATTATATTTCGTTAGATACTTTTTTCCTCCCTCCACAAGTTGCTGTATTTTTTTGTAGAATTTTCGTGATAACAAGAAATAGTATCGCAGAATGTTGTTGAATTGTTTGTATATATAATTTTTCAATTTCTTTCATCATAATTTCGCAACTATGAGTGCTATAAACAATAAACTACATTTTCCCACGTTTTAATATTTATACTTACGATTACTTAAGTGCTTCCATTCAAGAAGAATGATTTCAAATATAGAGAATGTACAGCAAATTATTCATAAAATTTCGACTATTGTTTGATTCTTTTCTATTTCCCAAAATCACCGAGAGATATAAAATTCTGTTCTTCGTAAATGTCTCTTGCAATTAGGATTTCCTTTCACATTACGATGCTCATCTATTTCAAATTAAATTTGCACATAACATATTTGAATTCATTCTCGTCGAATGTATTCTTAAAAGTAACGCCTCGCGATCCATTCTATTTAAGACGAGGAGCATATGGGAATACGAGTTGTTGAAAACGAGTTGGTATCCCAAGGTTTCACGGTGTTCGTCAATTATCACGATGGCAGCAATTAGCACCGTTTCAAGGAGTCGAAGTTACTTTTTCCTTCTTGGGTGTTGTTTCTGGTTTCCTTGAAACTTTCGTTCTCTTCACGATCGATGATCCCCGATGTCCATCAACGTCGTGCTCTTTGCAAAATAATTCCCTCATCTTATCACCAAAGATCGCGCGAATTTTTTTATTCAAACAAATCCCAACTAATTTCATTCCATTCAATTTCATTGATCAACAGTTTCGCGTATAATGATATATTGATCTGTACTACTTGCGTTACTTATCTATTTATTAATATACTTATCTATTTATTATATGCCACAGTAACCGAACGCGGTAGATCAATTATTTCATTTATATCTATTTTATTTAATTTATATCCATTTGTTCAACGCAATAAATTATCAAAATTTTATTCCATTTTTTATTCCATTTTACTCCATCTACAATATTTCGAAGCGTATTTAATTTCGATTATCAAAGAATTTTGCTACGGTTTACTGAAAAATGTATCCAATTCTGACCATGACGATGATATTCAGATTGATTTTGATTTTACTGTCCGTGAGAAATTAAATTACTTGATCCAAGATGCTATTTTTGTTAATATTTGAATTTTTACGTGGACAACATTTTACACGGGATTGAAAAGTTAAAAATGAATGTGTCAGATAAGTATCGTCGTGCGAACATTTTCGTAATCTCGTTTAGAATCGTTTTTGATCTAACGATTTTATTCATTTATTTCTTCTTCACTGTTTTCACACTTACTAATAATTTAACTTTTCTTCTTTTAGTGAATAATGACTGCTAATGAGCAAAGAGAGTGCAGCGACACGTTCTGAACGTCTATCCTACGTAACACGTTCGACTTTGGTACATTTTTATTGAAATTTTTGTTGCACTTCGGCTCGAGGCGTGTCCAAATCTCATTATTAAAGAGAAAGAGCAGTAATATGTAACGTTAAACGCCGGATGCGTATCCTGTTCAGCTGGTCGAACGAGAATTTTCGTATTCGTAAGGCCTGGAGCCTGTAAAGTTTTAAGATTTTAATTAACACCGTTCTCGATCTATTTTTTGTTCCCCCAGCGGATCGTCCTCGTCTGGTTTTCTAACGAGTACATGCAAAACAGTTTATTTACGCGATATCGGTTGGTTGGTTGAACGACTCGCGTTCAAAAGACGTTTTCGATCGATAACGGTGCTCGTTCCGGAAACGCTCCCGTTCTACCGATCCGAGGACGTTGCTCTTAATTATTTATTACACGTCGATGATGTAATCCTTGCGTGAATCGTTGCGGTGTAATCGACACCGGCGGAAATTTTAATTCGAGTAGTCGTTCCGTCATGCGTGATCATGATCTCTTCCGTTTTTTTTGTCTTATCGTCAATATCGGATCTTGCGGTTTGTTGTTGCTTGCGAATCATTTTCAGTAAATTTAGAAAAATATATTCAATTTGACGAAATGTAGTCATATTTTATTTTTTTTTTAGTAGATATTCTACGAACTGCTCTTGTACACATTCTTCATGCGTTTCTATTTTGAAATGCAACCCTTTGTCAACGTATTGCAGTTTACGTGTCTCTAGTAATCTTCTAATCGTCGTGTTTAATTGGGCAAGACTTATCACGAGAGTCGTTCAGTCTCGAGTCATCGACGATGATTTATATACTAGAGAAAGAATTATGACGTTCATTCGATCTTTCTACAACAATGAGATTCTTATTAAAAAATTATTTTACGTTTCTCCTTTAATTTTTATATTTCACGTATAAAGTACTATCTATTCAAGAAAGTTCAAATATTATAAAAAAAAAAAAAAATGCTTTTCTTGGATCAAGTATTTAATTTCGCACAAATAACGTCAGGATCAATTTATCATGATTCCCATCAAAGAAAAGAAATTATATCTTGAATGATAAATTACAAATGTAGAAATAAAATCTCTTGCTCCAAAATTTTGACGGTGTTAAGATTTCAAAGTGTTAATGTTAATTAACAAGTAAAGAGCGCCTCCAAATCTATCAGATACAAAGTGTTAATAGTATTCTTTTGCTTTCGCCTAGTTTCTAACTAAATATCTTACAATTGAACAGTCAGAATCAATGTTCGTACATTCACAGATATTCGTATTTAATCACAAAATACCAGAATATCTTTTCCAAAGAAATTTCCCAATTACCACGAGTCGATCTTTCAGAAACATAACTTTGATAATTTTCTCATAAAAATAAAATCACGTGAAATCGCGAAGTCTAAGCAATCAATTACCTCCGTACAACCGAAAATAGTCCCCTTCGATGTTAAACGCTCAACGAAATTCCCACGCTTAAAAGTAACAACCGTTCCATCATGATTTTCCTGTCTAATCACGAAAGAGTTACATACGTCAACTCTCACGAATACGCGAGTTCTTCACGGATTTTCCACGATGATAATGAAAGCCCGTGGTGGGGCTATTGTTTCACGGAGGCGGCATTAATTGCTACGTATTCCTCTTCCTCTTTCCTTTTTGTTTTTTCTCTCTTCTTTTTCCATAGTGCTCACGGGGCACGCGTCGAAATGGTCTGGCGACAGTGAGGTCGACAGGCGTCGTTTGGTAACAGATGGGAAAGGTATCTATGGCCGTAAGAAGTGCCGCTATGTCCCACATCGGCTGCCTATGATTCTGGCACGGTAACCACCTTCTCCCATTATGAGCACACCTTCCGGGAGAGTTAGTTCCTGCCATTTTGCTCTCTTTGCTTCGTAGGGATGCACGTAGTTCGATTTAGAGAATATTCTATCTTCAATGCGTCATGGTTTCATGCGTTTCGTCAATAGAGTTTCATTATATATCGACTTGTTCTCGAGGAAACAGTTTACACGATTGCAGACTGTGCAATAAGTGTCCGTTGATTTTTAATAGGAGTTCAATTTAAATTCAAGGTTTAGATACAACTAGCAAAAGTTTGTTTAAATCTTTTAATTTAGCACGCGTTAATTTGCTTACGCGAAATTTTCAAATTGCTAAGGTTTCATTCTAATGTAAATTTTCCTCGACTAAATACTTTCCGATCGGCATCAATTAAAAATTAGTATCACATACAGTGGCTCGCAAACGTATTCGAACCACAGAAGAACGTCTGTGTGGGTGTTGCGTAACGATAGTAAATTCTTTATTTAGGCCAAAGGAATTCCAAGTTATTTTCTTCTGAGGTTTTTAAATTCTATGGAACACATAGAAATTTCAATTTTTCTTTCTGGCTATAATAACGTGGATATTTACGACTTCGTTTATCACCGTTTGA